CATACTTACTGCAGAAGGATTTGCACCCAAACAAAACAGTTCTCCAGTTCTTTCTACCTAGGGCTGTTAGTCATACCTATGCAAAGTGTATAAACACTCTTCTATTCTGCCCAGGTAATGGCATGGGCCAGATCAATGTCACTGGCTGCACAAGGTGCAAAGCACTGAGAACCAGGCCAACTGGCTATAAGCTATCTCAGTTGTATGCTTCAATAACAAAAATCACATGTAAAAGAAATTCTGGACACAGACACAAGCAGAGACAGGTTTGAGGCCCTTTGGAAATCTGACCTTTGATATAGGGGGCATCCATTTTAGTTAACTGAATTAGTGGAAATTCCCCTACTACAAAATGAAAGAGAACCTGTTGGTTTTACCTATTTAATATACATATAGACTCAACAGGTGTATTAACATTACACACACACACACTTTTTTCTGTTTTTTTTGCAAACAATAATTCCAGCATGTCATCGGTTCATTTTTAAACTGGAATTTACCAGGTTCCATCTCATTCACCTAAAGTACATCCAGCGACCCTGACAGGTACAAGTTTAATTTCTCTCGGTCAAAAGGTAAATGGATTGGAGGAAAATCTCACTTGCTTATTCAACACATCAGCTTTCTGTGTATTCAGAGTCCAAACTCAGAGTCCAGGTTCAGGCACAGAAGGCAGTGTTATTGCAGAGGTGCGAGCTGGAATCGATTTGAGCTCCTGCCTCAGCGTTGCTGACACATCTCAATGGTAAGGCCAAATGAAAGGACCAAGTTCCCTTATTGCATAACTCCACAGTAGACAGGATTTTAATGCAGTAGGACTGCACAGTGTCTCCAAGTGTAGAATTTACCTGTGCTACCATCATTACTGTTAATAATGCATAAGAAAAAGAGAACCAGCCAGAGCACTGCTCTCAAGTTGCCCATCCCTGCCCCATGTCTGAACGTACCCAGTTCTTGGAGCTCACAGCTGTATACTTTGATAACCAAATGACTGAAGCCAAAGCTGATGGGATTGAAATAAGATTCCACTTCCAGACAAAACTACTGAAACTTTGGAGTTTTCCAAGGGGAGAGGAATGCTCTCAAACCCGTGTTCTCCCCATTTCACCTCCACAGGAGAAGCAAACGTATTGGAACATTTCCAGTTAGCTGCTGCAGACTTAAAGGAGCCTGCGACTGATCAGCTCTTTTTAACAAGGCCTGCTGCAGCCCACACAGGATCAACCCCACGCCAGAATTGCGTGCTGCAGTCAGTTATGCCTATGAAAGTCAATACCCATTACAAGGGGTACAACCGGGTCAGGATTTGTCCTATAGGTTCTTTCATGATTAGAAGCTCTGCCCCTGCCAGGCAGGAAATCATAAAATAATCTTCGTGAGCCTGCGGTGGCACTGACATTAAACGCATTGACTGAACGTTATTTTAACTAACCCTTAAACGGAGAACTTTCCACCTGTTCTGTCCTGGCTGCTGCACCATGCAGTAACCACGGCGAAACAGCAGAGGGCACTTCTAGACTGATCCATGGCTGGGCTTCAGGACACCTGTCACTCCCCAGCAAACTCCCTACTTCAAATGTGGATGCTGGCTTAGCAATTTGTCATGTGTTCTGCATTGCAGTTTCACAATGTCATTCAAGAACTGCAATAAAAAAGTGTGCTCAACCTTAGCTGCCTTTGAGGCAATAGTTAAAAATATTATTCCTATATTAACAATCACTGCTTATAGTATAAAGTCGAGAGAAATACCTGTAAAGAAGGCAATTCCAATTTTCATATGCTAACAAGTTTTTAAAAAGCTATACTTTAGGTAAATTTTCTCAAAATTTTACAGATTTTTGTCTGCCAGATGCTTTTTTTTGCATTTGCATTTGCACTTTGCAACGGTTTGCTAAAATTTCCACTGTGCAATTGCTTAGTCAGCAATTAATGTTTCTGAGAAATCTGGATTTAGACTGAGTGAGGTTCTACATGTCTGACCAGCCTACAGCGCGTGCATGCTATATTACAGGCTGCTGTGACGTAGAGCTATATTATCCAGAGTTTTGCCCACTTAAATAAGCATGTGAATAGGATGTATTTAGATTACAGATCCTATATATATAGGATATTACATTTAATATGAGTAACATACTTGTGATGAACAAGTTTTCTATTAATATGCCATATCCTATATAGAGCATATCCTATATGTATATATACACACACACACACTCATATTATATTATATGTTACTCATATTAACTGTTATATAGCAAACAAATTCTGCAATCAATCACACCAGTATAAATTTGGACTATCCCCTGAATAAAGTTAGCAAAGTCACAGAACCCTTTCGTATCATCTTTTCTGCCACGGACCCCGGACCCTTTTCCAAGAGACTGAAGTGGAGCCCCACAATGCGACTGCCCCACGCTGGCAACGCATGGCCTCCCAGCCCGCTCTGCCATTACCTGTCTCTTGGCAGAACCCCAGTGACATATTGCACAACCCCACAGAGCACAGTTTGAAAACCACTGCCCTGATTTTTTGATCTTAACGAGGACCCTGTGAACTTTTCCTAGTGTTTTTCTAACATGCATCCCAAAGTGAAAACAAGGAGACGCTTCCTCTGCCTGAAGAAGGGTGTTCGTACCTGAAAGCTTGCAAAGAATTTTTCCAACTATTAGAGTTGGTCTCATAAAAGATATCGGATTTACCCAAAGAGCCCTGTCTGCCAAAGTGAAGACAATGTATTTTTATTCTTGTTCATAAGGGTAGTTATAAAGAGGATGGTGATAGTCTGTTCACTATGACCATAGGTGACAAGATAAAAAGTAGCTGTTTTAAACTGCAACAAGAGAAATTTAGACGGGATAGTAGAAAGAACTTTCTAACTCCAAGGATGGTTAATTACTGGAACAGATTACCTAGGGAGGCTGTAAAATATTAAGAGCAGTTTACGCAAACACTTGACTCCTGAGTTGTCTTCCAGCCCTCTTTTTCTAGGAGTCTATAAAAAAGCAACTCCCTGAACCCTGCAATCTTTTCCTGTTCCCCATAAATAAGAGAAACTGTCCCTAGAATGGAGATCTGGGAGATTTGGTTTAAAATATTGGCTCAGATCTGCAGCCTGATGCATTAGAGAGGAAATCCATTCATTCTCTGGTTAGGAGAGGGTGAAACCATATCCGTGCAGTGAACACAATATGACATAGCATTAAGGCTGTATGGGCTCCAGTCCTGTAAAACTCTTACCCACACACTTAGATTTATTTTACTCACTGAAGAAATCCCGGTGAAGTGGATGAGGCTAATTAGATGCCAACAGTTAAAAGCCCTTATCTAAGCATTTGCCTGGCTGGAGACATGATCCTACTGCTACTAAACCACTCACAACATTGGACATGCATTCTTCATAGAATCATAGACATGAGGGTTGGAAAGGACCTCAGGAGGTCACATCTAGTCCAACCCCCTGCTCAAGGCAGGACCAGCCCCAACTAGATCATCCCAGCCAGGGCTTTGTCCAGCTGGGTCTTCAAAGCCTCCAAGGATGGAGATTGCACCACCCCTCTGGGTAACGTGTTCCAGTGCTTTAGTACTGTCCTGGTGAGAAAGTTTTTCCTCACATCTAACCTAAACTTCCCTTCCTGCAACTTGAGACCATTGCTCCTGTCTAACATCAAATGTTGACATCTAGCTGGGGTCATCTGCCCAGGGCAGAGGGTCGGACTCGATGATCTACTGAGGTCCTTTCCAACCCTAAAGATCTATGAAATCTATTAAATGGAAGAAGCCGCATGGCCTCAAGAGCATGAGAAAGTAGAAGAGTGTGGGGAATAAGAGCAGGAAATTCAAAGTCTATACATAACTTCTACAGCAGGGTTGGGTTTTCTGCAGTCAGTCTCTCAAGTCGGTGGGAGTGTGGGGGCAGCCAGCACCACTAGAAATCAGACCACTCCCCTCTGTGCATAACTGCAGATTGATGACTTTGACAACTGCAGCTGTCAGCATTACTTTTACAACCCAACTCACCTAGAGAAAACAATAGTAACCAAAGACTGGATGCCCCAGGATCACACAAGGCAAATTCAGAGGATGAGACGCAGAACTGATCCAGGTAAGCAAGGCTATTTAGGAACAACTCCTGCCCTTGGAACAGCTGAGTGATGCAAGGGATATCATTCTGTATGGGGAAGGCTAAATACAAAAGTACTATTTTCTAAAACCCTTCAGCTTACTAAATAGTTGGCTCTCCAGGAAAGATCACCTGCTGTTCTGTTCTCCAAAGTAACCAAACCTTAGTAGAATTATTTAAGAAACAACCTCAATTTCTAGCTCTGTTGTCTGCATCAGTTTGGGTAGGATCATGGGAAGGGGGCTAATTCCCTAAAAAACCCACTGTATGTACAATCACCCGTGTGTGTGTATGTGCACACGCATAAAGGCCTTTTTCATGTTACATGTACACATGAGAAATGTAGCATCTGTTGGTACAAATATTTGCTGTGCTTTGTAAATCTGAACCTTTTCGTTGTGTAAATTAACTTTTTTTCAGAACGATTATGCAGAGAGCCACCAAAGGGTGTAGACACCTATTAGATCTGGGCTACGCAGTGACCTTTTGGTAAAGGTGTGATTTCATCCTTAGGCACTAATGCTAGGGGCTGCATCTTCAGCAATCTGTGCAAGATATTTAACTCTTTAATGGTCACTGGATAGGCAAACTTGCCTGCCTCTCATTGGAGGTGTACATCTCTTTGTGGAGTCAACACATGGAAAGTAGTTCCATTTAGTAGAAATGTGAAGACACATCTGATTACTGTATGCAAGTAAATCTCCTGGTAATTAGACTTTAAACCAGCTGAGAAAACTGCACTCCCAAATCTTGCTATGTACAGGCTCAGTAATTGTACATCTGCACGGCTTCAGAAACAAAAGTGGAAGAATTTATCAATGGAGACAAGCAGAAGAAAAGGATAGGTCTTTACTGGTTTTAGTGGAGGAGAACAACTTACAATTTGTAACTGCTGTACCATTTCTTCTCTGTACGCCAGCTCCCGTTTCATCTGATCTTGAAAATTATCTGTGTGGATTGAAGAGAAAAATGCAGGTGCATTAATTAAGATATCAACCTGCACAACAGAAGTTAGTATAAATAAAGTAAAACTACCACTAAAGAGTTTGAGGAACACTGTAATAATTTATTTGCAACACTCTCTCCCACCGAGGGCCCTCTTGATGAAAGCTGCCTGTCTGGGATTGAACACTGTGGACCACAGAAAAAAAAGTTTAGGATAGATCAGGTGCAAGTGTTTCACACATGATTGGGTTTTCAAATTTAGGCAGCTACATTTGGAAGTCTAACATTTATCAGACATCTTGTGTGGTTTTCTCAGTGGGCCCGAGACTGTAGCTGTTGCTCCGGCAAAACTTCCTCGGACCAGAGTGAGAAGAACAAAATCTCTATGGGCGCATCTACATGTGTGCTTTAATGTGCATTAGCCTATTGTAATATGCATTAAAGCGTCACTAAAAACCTGTGCTTTGTAGCTAACGTGCACAACAATAGGCTAATGAGCATTGTGTCACTTAAACACTATGCTCTTTAGTTAATGCACATTAAGACAGACTAATGCGCATTCTTCTAGTACCTCACAATGGAGGTACTAGATTTAATGTGCCTTAACTAAAGCGTGTTAATGCACATGTAGACGCGCCCTATAGGAGCAAAAAATTGGCTCTTATTTATACCAATGTACGCCCACTGACTGAACTGAAAACACACGTTGGTGCCTTACAATCATGCTCAGAAATACTGCCATCTTGGCTCTAGTCACTAGGCTATAATGTGAAAAAGTTACATCACCACTAGTTTCCAATGAAAGCGATTGTGAGCACTGCACTCAATGCTGTCAGCACGTGCTGGCTGTGTGCCCGGCAAACCTGCCTAATCAGACCTCTCAGGGGATTTTGGTGGAGTGCTGCCTACCCAGTAAATCCCAGATGGCCTTAAGCAGGGCTTGAGCACCTAAGTCTTCGTCTCAGCCAAGATGGCAGCTCTTCTCATCATGCTGAGAGTTAGGTGTCTAAGTACATTTCCATCAAAACTTAAGTGCCCGTGGCCTGTCAAGTACATAAGCAATAGTTAGGGACTTTGTGGATCACCCGCTTGGACTTGGGCACTTGGGTTATTTATACATGTGCTCTGGGAGGTGTGGGGGGCACTTTAATTAAAGTGGCTCTAACAACTGCTCTAATTAAAGTGCCCAGAGCGTCACATGTATCAGCGTCCCTGTGCTGAAAAATGGCAGCGAAGGCACTTTAACTAAAACTCATCAAACGAGCTTTAGTTAAAGTGCCCCCGCCACCATATTTCAATGTGTGGAATTTTTCAGAGTGTGGTAATTACCGCGCTCCAGCTGACTCGATTAATTGAGTCTGCTCTGACATGTTGTAATTACAGCACATTGGAGCAGCCTCACTGCATGTGTATAGGTGCCCTTAAACTCTGTCTCAAATACACCGTCAGATCAGGCCCTTAGTCTTTTTGTGTCTTATCTGACCACCTCTCTAGGACTGTTCTGTCTCACAGGGTGTTTGCTCGGATACTACAACAATGAAGGTCATGTCAGTGTCTAAAATGCATGGACAGATTACAGTCTATGAACATCTGATGAGGAGGAACAGCAAGGGGGCAGAGGAACTACAGAATGACTCGAGGAAGTATATGGATGAGTGATAATATGACATTTAAAATTAAACCTAGGAGAATTTGATCTGAACATCAGAAAAAATGCCCTGAGAGTGAAGTTTCTTGCAATGTGGAGCATCCTCTCCTAGGGAAGTAACTAGAACTCCATTATTCCAAGTCACTGGGAATTGAACCAGATGAGACCAAAGGCCTGGGGGATACACTGTAAGAAACAATCCCGCACTACCACAGAAAATGGATGAGATGACCATGTAGTTTTGCTTCAACTCTAATTTCTCCGATTTTAAGTTGGCATTTGCAAAATCCTAATCTGTTCCAGCAAGGAAGAGCAGCTAACAAACATGAGACACTTTTGCAATTCCTGCAAAGATGTCTCTCTTGTTTCTGATATGCTTATAAAGAGGGAGCAAAATACTATTATTGGGTGGACATGCATTTCCTGTGGATAGGTTCTTCACACAGGCAGACATTATGTCTGGAGGCCATGGGTGCTACAGCAATATGCAGATAATAAAACAGTGCAAGGAATAGAGACTCAGGACTATTATAATCATCTTCATCATCATCATCATCATTATTGTTGCTGTTGTTGTTATTCACCATCCTGAGCCAAAACATCAGGCGGTATGGCCCCAAAGAAACAATCATCATCACGCCGTTAAAAGAGCTTGCAAATACGGACAGTTCTTGTTAAACATTTTTCATTTATAGCAGCTGAGTATGTGATCCAAAAAGCGTTTTAAAAAAAAGGGAGAAACACAGGACATTGTGGGACTGCTGCATGTGGCAGCGGCTAGGCTACTCCTTTAGTGTTCACAATGTGCTCAGTGCTGTGCAGACATGCAGGACGTGGGTCTTGCCCTGAGGGCCCGACAGACTAAGCTGTGGGAGATAACTCTAGAGGCAGCGTTTCCTAGAGGCAGTGATAGGTTTGCCTTGCAGGGGCAGGTATTGGTTTACTGTTAAGGGGGGAGATGAATCCTTTCCTCTGTTTTTAATCCCTCTGATTGTGGAGGTGCTGAACAATCCGGTTGGAAACAAGGGCTCCTACTTATTCACAGGTGATGGACAGAAGAGGCAGCACCAACACTGTAAGGACAAGGGCAAGACAGCCCAGAACTACTCCAACAGCGTGCCTCCATCCTGGCCAGGCCCGGGGAGGTCAGCGTCCAAGACCCGTTCTGTCTTCGGTTGAATTTTTCCAGGTCACACAGAGAGTCAGGACGGCTTTCTACTTCCAGGTTCTTTCTTTCAATGTCGTCCATCCAGTTTAATAGATGAATTAAATCTATTTTCCTCGTATAACTCATTTTTGGTACCTTCAATTCCAAGCCATTTTAACTTCTTTTTAATAAGATCCTGGGATATTTATCTTTCTGGCCCTTAATGGGACAACTCCATTACAAGATCTCAACAAGGAGTGAAGCCCAGACTTGCAGGTTTCTGGACCCTGAATCAAAGGAGCAGCTCCTTCTGCGGATAGCAGCGCTTTTTCCTCTCGGTGGACGAGGGTACGACATTTAGCCTGTGTTCCACCTGCTTGGTTTATAAACGCTCAGTTTCTCATCCTAGCTATATATGGTAGGGTTTTTTTGGTAAATCTAAATCTGCAAATGGGTTTTACGGTCAGCTGCATTTGTTGTTTATCGCACACTAGTTGTTTTTCTATTTTAACCTAGAGTAACATTGACCACTACTTTGTGGTACATTAAAACCACCTATTTTTCAAGCTGATGTATGTGTTTGCCACTTCCTTGGTCAGCAGCACGCATTCTTTTCTTTCATTTGAATTGTATTTCATGTGGTTTAATTGCAGCGTTTATTTACATGGCAATGATGGGGCATTAATTTTACTTTGAACAAAAGGATAAATGAGTGACCTGAATGGCAAGATTCCAAGATGCCCTTTTTATGCGACCGTGCGTATCATTTGCGTAGCTCCCAACATTTATTTTATGATGACCTGGCTCCTAAACCCAAGCAGTCACTGAATTTATACTGAATATTGGGTTACTCTTCTTTCATAAATATTCCACATAACCTCTGGCTTTTATTTTCCCCATAATTTACAATGTCCAAATGTATTTGTAGTTGGCCTATAGATGGAGTTGTACTTGAAGGTCTGCCTTGGCTTTTCTTAGCTTTCTCAAATTCTTCCCATCTTTAAGGGGGAAAGCTACAATTGATCTTTATGAGCATGAATATAGTGTTTGGGCTCCTCCCCCCGACTTCAATTAAGGTACAAAGTGCCACAACATTTTTTCTCCTTTATTTAACCTCAGGAGTATCATGTATAATGAGTCTTGCCCTTGCTGGAATGACACCGAACTGCTGAAGTTTGAGGGTCTGAATCTTGGGCACCAAAAGCAGTTTGCCCAAGGGGCTGTCAGTGCTTTCCGTCAGGTAAGAGGTAACAGAAGCCGGACGTGTTTTAAACAGTCTGACAACTGGATGGGGAAAGGTTTTTGGTTTTAATTTCCAGCCTGTTGTGCACTCAAAAGCCCAATGATTCTCTGTCTATACAGACCGAGGGTAAAAGGAGACTACAGATGACCTAGTGTCAAATTTTAAAAAACCAGACAGAAACAGCCTTTTAAAAACAGCAAAATCCCAACCCAGCTTGAAGGCCACCTCCTGACATCATGAAGGAGCAGGTAAGAGAACGAGTCATTCTATTTTTTTTCCTATAGAGGCCACATTGCATCCTGGACCTGTCATTCCTCACAGGCACACATGGCTACGGCCGACTGCCTGCTCAGAGAGCCGCCTGACCATCATGTCTGCCACACAATAGGCTGCACGTGGGAGGAGCAGCGCTGCGGTGTTGAGCACTGCATTGTGCAGCACTGTCAGCAGCAGCTTGGTCCTTCTAGCTTTATTGAATCATATGCATGACAAATCCATCGGGCACATTGTAACTCTGGCGTCATCCCTGGCCAGGTTGTTCCTTGCAATTATTTTCCAATGCTGGTTTGAAAGGCAGTGAGTCTGTCCCCATGCCCTGCAGGAGACAATTCCACGTGCTAACAGTCTCATCAAGTTCCTCACCATCTTTCACTGGCATGGCATATTCCATCACTTCTTCCTGGCCCAAATTATCATCAAGAGTCAAAGAACAGAGTCCACCTCCCCAGGGAAAGTGCAGAGATGACCACAGTGCTCTTACATGTATAGTATGTATAATGTATAGTACGTATAGACCGGCCCCTGCCAGCATCATTTAGAATGACCTCCAGGTTGCTCCAAGTCATTACTGGCTGCAAAGGTTTCCAAAGGACTGATACCAAAGATGGGCAAAGAAGGAACCCTTAATCACATCTCCCAAAACCTTCTCAGCCTGAATATCTATGACATAAGTCCACCTACAATGACACGTGGTTGGTTATGCTGACTTTTGGATCACAATACACTGGTGGGACAGGCTGGAGCCCAGTGCTCACATCCTAACCCTGGATGCCCTGTGTTTTCAACAGGTAGGGAGAGAATTGCAAACAGTATTTGAGATTGTCTTTTTAAATACTATATAAAAGTAATACTATATAAAATCCAGATTCAAGTTTACACCTAAATGTCCTGCCTCTGCAGGTCCTGAAAGCAAATGGTAGAAATCTCAGTGATGTCTTCAGAATGGCCAAGCCCAGCGCTCCAGGATCACAAACACTCATAAACATGATTCACCTATCATGTCATAAGCTCACAATAAAAGACAGTGGCATTTTGCAAGCAACAATGAAAATACAGAAACATGTCTTACTGAATACTGGGAAAGAAGCGTTTCCTTTCAACACCTGGAATTCCTGTTCTAATCTCCTCCGTAAGTCTATTTGCTCAAACAAAACCTTCTGGAGTTCTTCTAATAAAGAGAAAAGAAGAGCAGTTCTGCTAAACTGTATAAATAATTCTTGAGAGAACTATTATGTGGGGCAATTCATTACTATAAGACAAAATATTTTAGCAGTTAAAAAAAAAAAGTGTTGCATAGACCTAGAATAGATTTTATGCAGAAATCCATGAATATAAATCAATGTAATATATTATTTTAAAGTATTATATTACAGTGTCATGTATTGATTGATATATATGCATTAATCTCAATTATATCCACCCAAAGGTCCATATATTATTCATATGTTACTTGTCAAGCTTAAAATATGGTGCAGAACAAAAATGCCCCCTATTATCCTTATATTCTATTAAAACAAAGAGCAGGTTTATACGATCAAAGCTAATTTTTTTTACCTTTCCCCATGTTTTCTACATCCTTCTTCAGTGAATGAGGTGAATTGGTTTCTTGCGTGTGTTCGCCTTAATAAAGAAAGGAAAAAAAAGTTGTTGATTTGCAAAAATTGCATTTTATCGGATGTTGCTTTTACTCTGCATCTTCTCCGATGGTCTGGAAAAAAGGTTTCACCACAGCATTTAGAGCTCCCTCTTTGTAATCTTTAAGCAGGACAAGCTCCCACTGATGTCCAGGGGCGTTTTCCTTGTACAAAGACAGTACAATTTGGCCCACAGCATCATCACTGGATTTGTGAAGCTGTATCTTCTCCTTGGACCTTAAGCATCATCTTGCTTTCTGCACAGATGTTCTAGGCTTCAGAAATGCTCTCCAGGACACGTCATTGCTTAGAGAAACTTTTTAAATAAGTAAAATGTATTGCCGTGTTGTCCGGTATACTGTAGTTCCTAAGGTAGCAGTACATGCTGCTTTGAATACGTTTTCTGAAGAGCCTGAGTGAGCAGAGACACAAGGGCTGACGTATGGTATCTCTACTCCCCCTTACCCAGAGGTGGGGTATGGTGGTTATGCAGGGCACGGGACTACTGTTACTGATTTACAGGCATATTTCTCTCTCTTGCCCTGCACCCCAAAAGCTATGTCTAATAACTGATGTTTTTCCTCCAATACATATCAAAAACACAATTTTTCCACTTTTAACACCTTAAAAATGCCTCTCACAAACACCTTAAAAACCACTTAATCGATCTAGGGCCCATGCAAGAGGTGGTTACTAAAATTACTTTCTGTTTTTGAATTGGAACCCAGGCCACTCTGCATAGCTACGTTGGTCTCCGCGGTTTTCCACACCATCATATTTAAAAGTGTTGTCCTCTTCTTCAAGGCCCTGCAAAATCCTGATCCTTTCGCAACTAAACATCTTCAGCTTTAGGTCATCAGCCTTGCTCTGCCGCTAAGGCCAGCCTCAGGGCCTCTGTCTGTCCCCTCCTAAATATCTCTCTGCCTCCTTTCATTGCATAGAGCTGGAACAGAGTGCCCTCCGAGCTGCAGACTGCCGAGCCATTACCTATTCTTCCTGTTCTCCTGAAAGCCTCACTAAATCCAGGGATGCCCACAAGAAGCGCACACATAAAAAAACCCCAAAACAAATAAATCAGCCTTTTCCCACCCCCAAACCTCCCCCCATGTCCTTCCTGGGATTTAGTCGTCTCATCAGAGAGGCATGCCCTGAGCCATCTCAATGGATGGAGCCCCTTCTTGCTTCTTTTGGCTGGACTTCCAGATTAAACCTCTGTCATCAAAATCCCTTTTGAAGCTCTCTTTTTGCTTGCTGTGGCATTACAATCCAAATCCACTCCCATAAAATGGTGCTGATACATTTGAGCAGGCAAGGTCTAAGTGAAGCTTGTGGGGTGGTGGGCTCCGAGGGAGATTTTCTACTGGGAATTTGTCAACAGGCAGGTATAAGCATCAATCCCTTCATTTTGTTGTATAATAAAAAGCTTTTGTTTTTCAGAGATTAATGAGGATTTAGGATACTTCCATTTCAATTAATTCTTTTAACAAAATGAATATGAGACTATAACAGGTACATACTATTTCTGGATTTTGCTAGTAGGTTGTTAAATTAGCACTAGGTTTGCCAATTGCTGGGCTTGTACACTCTTCATGGAAGGATCTGTATCCTCCATGATTTGAAGGGACTTGGTCCATTTTGAGGGCTCCCACAAATCTAAATTACTTAGAATACTCTTGTTATATCAATGAAATGACTCTGCTTTCTTCACTGTTGATCTCCTAGGAGCATACTTCTCATTATGTTGCGTAGCAGTATTATTTGACATTGTAGAAAATATGGAGCCTGGTATTTAAGACTGCTGAGTGAAGAGCTGGGCTTAACTTCAGTCACAGTCCCAAACCCTCTGCTTCTGAAGTATTGTGCGCCTTATCCAGTTAAGTCTCACAACATTTGGGTGGGCTTGGAGCAGCTCATAACCCTGTGCTCATACAATTAAGCGATGAACAAACGTTTGAAAAGCATCTAAGGACATGTGCAGATATTCCTGGGACTCGATCTACGATCTGACTTTATGATCTGATCTTATCTGATTAAGCTGTGCAATCATAGATTGGGTCCCATTTGTGCCGACGTTTGCCAGTTCTGGGAACTGCGCTGGGAATGTGATCTAAGTCAGTTGGGGTGGGGGGAAGAGCAGAAGGGATCAGGGGGGCTAGTGGGTCCATAAGAAAGGTTGGTTGGGTTGTGGGGGGCTAGTGGGTCTGCAAGGGGGACAGTAAAAATAGCCCGGTGGGGGTGGGGGTTGGAAAAGTACAGCTCAAGGGCTGGGGCGAGTAACTAGGCTTTCCCAGCCCCAGAGCTGCTCTCCAGACATGTACACATTGGGTAGATCAGGCCCTAAGTTAGATTGCACCCCCTAAATTAGATTGGCCATGCCATGTTTTGCCCAACCTAACCCCTCCAAATATATGTACAGTTTGGCATTTCAGTAGACCTCACCCTAGTTAGGTCAATCTAAGAGTAACATCTGCACCTACCCTAAGTGATTGAAGGTCCTGACTTCTTTACAGATTTCAGCACTCGGGAACAGATTTTCAGAGCTCTTTGCATCATTAGGTGCTTAGATGAGCACCTTGTGCTATTTTCAGGGACATAGGCACTTAATAGGATTTTCAAAAGTGCTTATGGGTCAGTGATTCTCAACCAGGGATGCTACAGCAACCCGGGGCACCTTGGTATCCTTTCAAGGGTGTCGCAGGGTGCCATGCAGTGTTAGCACAGTTAGGCATGCAAACACAATTCACATGATAAACCCAGAGATTTCAAATAGGAATCCATCATTTTAAATCCATTCTGACCTGTTGTGGTCTTCATGAGTTTGTTACAACAGAAGAATTGCTCTAATATTTTTCTGTAGTCAAAAAATGAGTGAGAATGAAGAGCTGGCATTTTCTGAGGAGTGCCATGAGTCAAACAAGGAGTGCTTTCAGTCTAAACAGGTTGAGAACAACTGATCTAAGTGCCCTTTGGCATCTTTAGAGGCCTAAGTAGCTTTAAAAATCTAGTCCCTAGATGCCTCTCTGAAAGTCAATGCAACTTAAGATTCCTAAATTCCTGCACTTGTCAAGGGCAATTTAAATGTGTGGTGTCCTACAAATATATATATTTAATTCATATAAATGTGAAGTAACAAGGAAAGCAGAATAATTAATTCTGAAGACATAAATTGAGTCATAATAATGGAGACCAACAAGACAGGCACAGAGGTGCCTGTGTTTCTAACAATATGTGCTAGAAGATTTGACCAGTCCTTACTGACTATTATTCTATATGCTCTTAACCTATTTTAATATTTGATTTTATGTCTGTACATAGCAGTTGATATTTTCATAACAAAGGGCAGGATTTTCAAAAGCACCAAAGTCACCTAGAAGCAGAAATCCCTTAAGATGACCTGCATCGAAGTGACCGAGAACTATGCATCCCAATGAAATCAGCTTCAACTCAATGAGACTTTCACTAAGGTGCATTTGAATAATCCCACTCCTAGGCCCCTAAATTTGGATTTAAAGCTCTGATTTTAATTTTGTAATTACGAAATTCCAGACTGCGATCATCGCTGTGGCATGTGAGGCTTCAATACTGCGGTGGATCTGCTCTCAGAGATCCAGCTGCAGGAGCACAGGAGTGCATTTATTATGTGATGTGGGACTCCTGATGTTTGCCTACTTCGAATCTATTTGAAAATGCCAAACAGTTATCGTAACTTGTGGGAATCTGCGCTTTTAAAATATTACACTTATGCAGATTAGTACGAGTTTAAACAATTAAAATGTGAGACTCATTTTAAGCATTCTTTTTAATTCCATGTGAAGACAATTAGTAGTTTAAAATTACATTCAGAAGACTAGTTACACAGATAGATAAGAGCTTAGATGATACCGAGATGTTAGCATCTTCCTCTTGAGGCCTGGACTGAAATCTGGCTTACATCATATTGTAAATGAAAGCTGTTTGAAGGGCTGAGCTTTGACTATAACAGATATCTGTCCACATCATAAAAGATGTTGGATCATTAGCAGTCTCCAAATATGAGTTTGATCGGCTGAACTTAGAACCTAATGGGCTTTAGTCCACCTGGTAAAAGATGTGGGATAATTAGCAATCTCTGCTTAAGAGGTATCCAGAACTGAAGGGAGCATACTGCAGAGCAGGTGATTGACAGATCTCCACAGAGATGTTTGCAATTATTCAGCCAGCCCTAGGTGATGTATTCATGCTGAGCAGAACAGTATTTTAACCAGAAAAAATCTCACGCAGCAATGTTCGGATGCACCAATAAAACCAGTGCAAAAACCAATGCAAAGGATGGCCACCCAAGTTCTGTCACTCTTAAAATGCACAGAGTCTAATCCAGAACGTCTACCGTACAGGAAACATAGAAAAGCACAGTCAATCGGACAGGAGCAGCTACAGCATCCTCGGAGGTAGGCGAGGATGGAGCTAGACTCTCCCCTCCAAGTTCCTGACCAGGACAACAACAAGACTAATCTCAGAAACTCCACCTGGCGATAGCTTTATACACATCTATGACACCGGATGCTAAGCCCAGGGCATGGTGAAATAGGAATTTGGGAGTTTAGCCTAACCTGCACAAATGCAGTACACAGACACGATCGATAAAACTCCTGTAAGAGTTGCCCTTAAACAAATAAATCAACAGTACGTTTTTGCACATCTACAATAGTAGACTACTGTGGAATCCAAGATATGACAACTTTTTGATGATTATCCAAGAAATGACAACTTTCTGGTGATTACTGCTGTTATTTATTATGTGTGTGAGCACTCCTCTAATGCAAAGGTCCCAAGTGAGACGGGGGGCTCCATTATGCTATACACAATGACAGTCGCTGCTGTGAAGAGCTTAACATCCCAAGAGACAACACAATGAAAGGATGGGAGAAGCATTATCCTCATTTTACAGATGGGGGACAGAGGCAAGGGAAGTTGAAGCGAATTGCCTAAGATCACGCAGCAGGTTGG